TTAATATCAGCGGGGAGCATGTTCTAAAGTTGTATAGCTTGTATCGTAAAAAACGAACTAAAAAATTAGACTTATGCTGTGGAAACCTTAACTTCAGACCGTTTGACTGTCGGGATGTTCAATCGTTGATCGAATGAAAAAAATTAAAAATTTATTATGTGTATGTGTACTCGTATTATCTGCATCCCTGCCTTAAGAGGGTAAGGATGTGTTATGTCGTATTTACACGGACCGGCGCCACACATCAGCAGGGCCACAGGAATAGCTTTGGATACATTTAGAGTGTCAGCCAACTTGACGACCCCTCCTTCGAAGACCTTTACCCTTCTTCAGACAAGGCGCGGTGAAATACAAGGCGCGCCTTTTAACATCTACACTTGTACGATAAATCTCTCCATTTCCGTTATGAGGAGGTCAATGGGTTAGTAAATACATACGCCTGGGAAAACCAGCCTTTCTGACCCCAGCAGCGGCGGATCTGGTCTATGACTCCGCCTCCAACCCCGTTTTAGCCACGGAGGGCAGGGAGAGTGGCGCATCGTTATGCCGACAATTCTTTACTTTTATGTCAAGTCAATACTTTTGGGACGTCTAAAAAAGCTTTGTATAAACATTCCTATGCAAACATTTTTCAATTTGTCATTAATCTATTTAATAGTCTCCATTTATTTTCTTCAATTGGTATTTTATTACACTTTCAATATTTGATCATAATATTGTTAATACAAAAAGAATCATCAAGATCGATTCACAAGTGACGAAGATATTGTGTAACGTACCATCTGTATTTTATTGTGTTGTCTATCGTTTCAAATAAAAAAAAAAACAAATCTCGTGCATCAAGACGAAGCAAGCCATGATCACGACCAGATCTACACAACCCCACTGCAGTTCCTTATTCAAAGTATCTGTATAATCGTTATTGCCTTCGTCTGGGTTTTGCCATTGTGTATTTATTTTAAATGATTAACCGAAAACATAGCAATGTCTAACGTTTCGAATAGTTATGACATTAAAGTGTTTTCCTAACACTTTATTCTTTATAATAATCAAATGGCATGTATAGTAAATATATCATTTACTATACATGTCATTTTATTAAATAAAACTGCTGCTGAAAATACACTGGTCTGTTAGTGAATTTCGTGATAGAATTCGCACGCTTACTACAAAAACGTTCGGAAACTTTACCCGAAAACAAACACAAAATAATGATATCTGTACACGAACGATAGCCCATACAATCATGTTTGCACGAGATTTATTCCTTTTATAAATATTAAAATTACATCTATTGTAACAAGGTCATTACAATCATATTATCTCATCAACATCAAGTTTATGGGACATAGGATTGTATAAGGTTTTATTTATAGCATTGAGTGACAAACGAGCACACAGTTCACCTGATGGTTAATGGATGCTGTGGCCCATTGACAATCACATTTATTCTCAATTAAAAACAAAATGCAAATCCGTTGTCACACGTGAGGACTAAGGTGGAATGCCTCGATTCCAAAAAAAGGTCTCCGGTACTCTACACTCACCATACGAAACACAGCAGCATTACGCAGCTATTTTACGCCGATATTCTGTGAGAGCGTGATCCTGCCCCGGTCGAGCTGGCCTATTCATGCTATTTCTATAATAGAGCTGCAGCGTGGCTCTACCACGTAAACCATCAAGAATCATAATCATCATCATTACAGCACTTCACAAGTCCACTGCTGAACACAGGCTTCCCCCAAGGAGTGCCACAAAGCACGGTCCTGAGCCACCTGCATCCATCGATAAGAAGTTATAATATCATGTATTATTCACCGATATTTATGTCGCCTATTCACCTGATACTATGTCAGAGGCTCATGACCAGTTGTGGGCCGATTATGAGGTGATGAGAAGGAGAAAGATGTAAATAATCACCTGTTTTGTTGAATTTAGATGCCTAGAAAATAAACTGATTTTATTTAGTTTTAATAAAGGGATTAAAATCGAAAACATACGAAATGAAAGAAATTTTTTTTCTATATACATGTTTATAAAAGAGCTAGCTTTACGTCGTCATTGATTCATTTTTATTACATATGATGTAGTTTTTGTGCATAGTGCTAAAGATCATAAAATTATGTCATGTTATTGTGCCAAAAATAATTAAATAATAGTTTTAACAACAATAAATTGAATGCCTATAATTGAGGCATAGTAATTACGAATAATTGATTGTTGCTGATTTCATAGCTTTGATTAAAGTACATTGAATCCATTACTTTCACAAACCATTGTTATGTTACTGAAATCATTTTATATTTAATAATTAAAATTAATTCATTAAATTATTAATTGTAATTTCACTTATAAATAGGGGCGGATAGCTAACGAATATCGTTAGGTACAAATGTGAGGTAAGTGTCAGAATCGTGTTAAAAGTATCTTACTTGATAACCCGTCCGTAATATCTATAGAATAATTTCATACAACATATACAAAAATTTAATATATATATACAAAAGATGAATCCCACAATGACATTATCAAAAAGTATTTTATTATTATTTAATATAAAATTATTTTTAAGAATTTTATCATTATTTAATATATTTTTATTTAAAATATGTGTTTATAATTTGCCTAAAATTCAGCAAAATTTTAAATTCTGGTAACACGGTCGCCTGAGGTATCTTTGAACATGTGGCGAATGGTGATATTGTTTACACGACGGTCGTCCTCGCCGCATGTATTGCCTTGTAAGTTTCCCCATTTAATTAAATCTTATTTATTTTATTTTTTTCTGAAAAGGATAAAATGAACAAACATTTCTCGATACCTAAAAGGGTGCTTTTAAGCTCACGGATCGGACAAGGATTTTTACATATTGTATATCTCAAACTAAACTAATATATTATGGACACTGTTAATTTAATTACCAGAACTTATAGAGTAATGAAATCTGTCACAAAATTATCTAAATAAAAGTAATATGTAATAATAATCTGTAATATTACAATAAAATTGTAGTATACAAAAATAAACCAAACAAAATATGCGTTTTTTTGATTTGTGAATGATAGAACAAGTATAGTCGAGAATTAAGTATTTAAACAGAGTTATTTTATTTAAAATATTGTACAAAATAATCTTTGATTTGAAACAATAATTGAATTTTCTATATATATTTTCTATATATAATAATATATTATATTATCTAACATACATTAAGCCTTTGACTGTCATGTCAGTCACTTTGTACGGAGTATTGCATTTAAAACATGTGTTAATGTCTTGAATTTAACTCTTCTCAAGAACATAAATATGGTCACGGAAATATATCCCTATCATAAATTTTGCACATAACTCCATTGAATTACATCAAACAAAACTTACGTAAAAATACATTTCGCTTGATGATGCTATTTATAGTATATATTTTTAATTTTCATTTTAGCTACTGTAAAACAAAATATTGTTACTGGAATACGCAGTTTTCACAGATAAATAATCATTAAAAATGACGAGTGACAAAATAAATTCACCGTAACACATCCTAAAGTAAAAGTATCATGAAAAGTTTGTAGAGAGTTACCGTTCAAGATACAATAGAACTGTCGTATAGAGGGACGCAATGTTGATACACTTAATTTCCTATAATACAATTATATCTCATTTAAAATCTCATTAAGACTTAGATTGGTCACGCTTATGACTGAGTAAACGAATTCCATACCATAACACACTTAAACATTTTACTATTCACCACATCCTGAGTATTGATATGTGATTGGTATCGAGTCTAAACAGTTTTTATTTTACCGTAAACGGCCAGCTAATAATCGGAAAAGGTAATATCCTGTTGCAGCCTGGAAAAGTCTATGCATCCAATACAATCTGTGGAAAGAAAAAAAAATCTTTATAAAACACTTGTACCACCAGGACCAGTACTAGTTGTACTACCCGTAAATCACTAGCCTGAGGCAATGACGATTTTGATGTTAATATTGTGAAATTTTACCAGTACTCTGCTACTCTACCTGTAGGAAGTGTACAACACAGGTAGCGCAAACAAAATGTCGACGGCGAAATAAGGCACTCCTAATTATTTGTAACAGCATTTAGATGCACTTTAAGATGTAAATAAAACTAGTTTTACGGATTTTATCGCGTTTAAAAATCATTGTTTTTACACTTGCGTATTAAGATGGTATGATAACTGCTTGTAATAAGTACTGATTATCTTACCCTTTTAACTGGATAAAGCAATGGGTGTTTATAGATTACATAAATTAGTACGGGGATATAATTCACCGTAAAAGGCACATATAAAAGGATAAGTAATGTCATTTAAAATAGTGTGAGGCCATATCTAATGTTCCGATAGTTAAATCGATAAATGAGTGTTAGTGTTTTTATACAGAATAAGGGTAGCAGGTGAGTACACAGTTCAACTATTTGTAAATGGATCATGTGACCCATAAACATCTCCATTCATCCTCGACTAATAATCAAAATGCAGATGCGTTGTCACCCTTGAGGACTAAGATGGAATACCTCGTTACCAGTAAAATTGGTCTCCGATTAGAGAACCGGAATAATGTATTTGCGCTGGAGTCATATATAGTTCAACCAAGTTTATGCACATTATTAAAATTATATATATGTACGTATATACTTCAAATTATGTTATCCTAAACCCACACATACATGTCATTTAATTCGCCTAATCTTGGCTTTACCCACCATGTTTAGGATTATATGGGGTAGTGGATTTCCTGTGCCATTACTACACGGTACAACTTAACGAAATTGCTAGTGAGTGGTGAGAAAAGATGAATTTCCTAGGTATTTAAAATATTTCGCGGACATGTGAGTGAGTTGGACTCTTTCCCGCTTTGCCAAAATTCTTATGAAAAATGTGAGGAGGCCTGTGCCAAACAGAGGACATTTAGGAGCTCTTTATTACGTTACTTGTGTAATTGCTCAATAACTACAAGTGATTTAATCTTTACTCACCTTTTTAATTTACTTCTAGCGTTTGGCAGCGATTCAACACTATCTTTTAAAATGAACCGTCTAATACCAAGCATATACGCTCCAATATATGAATCCCAGTTGAATTGCGATGGCCAGTGAGGGAAAGCGCTTGCATCGCTGGCAAAGCTAGCTTCTGTGTGTAGAGCTGAGAGTTCCGATATGCCGAACTGCCACTCATGGTTTGCGAAATATTCTCCTGTAGCGGCAGCCATTTTGAATCGACGAGCGAGTTTCATCATTCTATTAAAATGATAAAAATAATTATGTAAGTATCAAATTTAATTAAAATATTTTATAGAAGGAGACATATACCTACTATAATGGGCTTTGATCATAACGTTGTTCCATATCACAGAAGTTAGTCAACCATGTTTTCCACGCAAGATAAGTGATTTACTTACTGTCACCGCCGCGAGGGCCATAACACTTTTAAATTATTTACATCATCATCATTGTAGGAAGAAATACCACAAAGCATGGTCTTCAGCAACCTGCATCCATTGACTTCTTGCATCTCTAAACAGGTCGTCAATTTCATCTACTGGAACGCCATCCATTCGCTTACTGGAACGAGGCTGCCATTTTACTAGAAAATTCATCATCACATTTCGTGTCATAGGTATCGTAAGAGGCTAATATGCGAAAAAAGTGAAAGTTCTCATGGCTTCCGGTAGATGGTAGTGTAACAAGACGTAAAATACCTAGACTGGCCACTTTGGCGTCCAGTCGTCTTTTATTTACTGTGATCAGCAATCTGCGTGTTAATCGTAAAAATGTTGCCAATCGCAATTATTTAAAAGTAACGGAAGAGGTTCATATCCGGCAGTGAATTTGCAGAGTTTAGCTGCTGTTTAAAAGGTCTACACAATTTAATTACCTTATTAGTTAATTAAATAAATTATTTGTCATAACCGTTGTGAGGTACTTACATGGCTTTTCTTCCCTGTGCCCGTAGCAGCATGTCGTAGAGAAATGCTGGCAAGAAATGGCAAGTTATTTCCCAAAACGTGTTCATGAAGCGAGACTCAGTAAATGAGAAATTTGGATACCACATCACATATCTGAAAATAAAATACTGCAATTACAATAATAATAAAGAGAAAGATTTTTCTCGTGCGTGCGTGCGTGCGTGCGGGCGTGCGGGCGTGCGGCGTGCGTGCGTGGTGCATGCGTGCGTGCGTGCGTGCGTGCGTGCGTGCGTGCGTGCGTGCGTGCGTGCGTGCGTGCGTGCGTGCGTGCGTGCGTGCGTGCGTGTCGTCGTGTTCGTGTGGCGTGCGTGCGTGCGTGTGTGTGTGTGTGTGTGTGTGTGTGTGTGTGTGTGTTTTTTGACCGATTTAAATGAACTAAGCGGATTTCCAAAGTGTTTCATCAATCTTACACTGCCTATGAATTGTAATTAATTCGGACCGATAGATTTTGAGAAATTTCAAGATTAAAAATTTTGAGAAACTGTTTTTTGGAATGACTTTTAAACGGCTGGCTTTACCGATCGATTCCAAACACTAATCAGCTTTTAACCTTGAAAACCAAGTTCGGTCAAAATCGGTTGATTCGTTTGTGAGATATCGTTAACGAAAATTTTTGAAAAAATTGATTTTTTTTAAATTACTCCGATATTTCATATTCAACGTCATAATTTGGTGAAATTTGAAGCGTTTTGCATTTGAAATTAGCGGGAAATTCCAGGGATGGCCTGCAGGGTCAACCAATTTTTTAATTTCTAGATTGGTTAATACTATTGATTTTAACTTTTCTTATGGGGAAACATACTTGGTGGGATTTTCTCTGGCCCATTTGATGCAGAGCCGGGTGAACTGGCCCCATTGTAGTGGGTTGATAGATCCAGATGTAACGTTGTAAACCGGACAGCGTCCAGGCCTGTAAAAAAAATAAAAGATCAATTAAGGTTAATGATTGTTATATTTACACAAATAAACATAAATGAAATAAAACTAGAGTAGAATTAGTTTTATTCAAAGTGATTAAAGTATTCTTACTGAACGGAAAATACTATTACTAAAACTCAATATTTTCTTTATATAAATATTTCAGTAATAAAGCCGTGTGTATATGTCTAAATAATGGTACGTATACACTTACGTTTACTAGTGTACGTATTTTTATAACTTAAATGGATGTATTAAAAACTTACTTATTGGACCCTTGTCTCCACGCTGCAAGAATACAGCTATTGACAACTAAGTCCACAGGTACCAGGTCAACTACATATCTTTCTCGGCAGTACCCAGAACGATAGGTCCCACGGGATATTTCCATAATTATTCCTGGAAAGTCAAAGTCAAAACATTTTTTAATTTAAGCTTGTAAAACTTCTGTGAACGTCAAAATCTAAACAAATATCGATATAATGTAAAATATTAACTTTCTTTATTAGCGACTTACTTACACGCTATGTTGAGCAAAGTAATTCGGCAATTCATTTTTAAATTCGTACAAACGAAATACAACGGAATAAACTCATTTTATAAATAATAAACGCATTGAAACCGGTGAAACCCTCCCTTTATAATTGTTTTAAAACTGTGGGAAATAACAAGTGAACGACTTACAACAGTAGTGTGAGTATACTTTCTATGACATTAAACAGTCAGGCGCCTATCAGTAAACAGAAAATTGTTGGTAAAACCAGATTTAGGAACTCCGTATACAGTATTGCAATGAAAGTTTTTAATCGTTAGTAAGGTATAATCGAAACGAAAACGAAAAATAAAGTTTTTTTTGGGTGTTACTGGTATTTCCATTATTCCGTTATTGTCTCTAGAATTTTATGTAAAAATATTCACATTAAATTTTATGTAAATATTCATATATATATATATATATATATTTATTTTAGCGAAATGCTACTGACTGACTGACTCGTCACAAATCTTTAAAACCATACACCCGATTGATTTGAAATTTAGTATAGTTAATCATTTCGTAATGTTATTGTTATATTAGACATGAATTCCGTAACAAAATATTATTGTTCGCCCAGCGAAGTGAGCAGTTCAGCACCAGTCAGCAGTTCCAGTTCAGTTTCAGCATGTAAGTGCTGTGTACACCAAAATTGTTATATATATCAGATGGAAACCAATATATCGTGTATATTGTTGCAATGTATTGTGGCGGTGTTAGAAAAGCGAAGTCAAACAGGATATGGGCAGCAGAATCTTCTCGATTAATAGCTCAAAAATCGCCAACTCGCTTAATAAGTTTGGCAACTATGGCAAAAGTTTCCTTTAGAGCAATATACGGGGTACCTATTTTCAGCAGTAGATATTTTTAGTAGAATGTTTTGATACCAGTAAAAAGGGTCCTCGGTTATCTACGCTCATTCACACTAAACACACCAGCATTAAGCTACAATTTTACGCTAGTATTCTGTGCGAGCGTGGTCCTACCACGGTTAAGCCGACCAACTGCAAACATAATATAACTACAGCGTAGCTCTTTAACGTATTAAAGAATTAGCGGTTGCAAGCGTGGCTACTAATGATGTGGTCCCGGTTTGACTCCCGCGTCGACTCAAGAAAATTGTGTTTTTCTGTCAAGAAATTCGCAATAGCCCGGAGCCAGGGATTTAGAGGTATCTCAACCCGTGCTTCGGAAGCACTCATAGCCGTAACCGATCTCTCTTCGGTCAAGTCGATCTGACATCCCATCGAACTATGAGGGCAAAAGAATAGAGATAATAATAATACACTTGTGCATGCGGGCACTCGTGTACTGTATGTGTAATCCTATCTCGCGCAGCTAAATCGTTTTCGTTGGATCGGGCCACAGTAGCAGAATTTATGGCTGAAGGACATATACTTAGTTAGCGAAAAGATATAGGTTCATTGTAAAGTTTAACATACCTGTAACTCCATAGACGTTGTCAATCCAACCAGGAAAAGGTTCTTGAAACGCCGCAGTTACTACAAAAAACCCAAAATAAGTTGTTTAAAATATGTGAGTACGTGCTTTTCCTAATAATGATTAATGCAAAATGTATGCAAAACCAACATTTTTGCGTCAATATACTCAATTTTTTTCATAAAGTTAACCAATTAAACTGTATAGAAATAAACCATGACTGAATGATGGATCCTTATGACATTATTGGGAGACACAGATCAGTTGAGCGGTTTAAATGCCCACGAATATTTTTTTTAATTTCTTGGCAACTTGTGTTGCCTGACACTAGAATTTTTTGTACCGTCCCATCGGACTATGAGAGTGAAGAAGTAGACAATGTAACTGTGTTTGCACACACTGGAGCACTATAATCCTGTTCTGCGCAGATGGCAGAAGGTCGGCGGTATTCTCCTTTGAGATGGTTGGTGGAGGACATTATTATTATCCAATGCCACCACCACACGGTGACTCGGAGAAGGAATTAAAGAGAGGGATATACATTATTCCACTGTTCTGCTTCACATTAAATCGGCAGACTTCACATGTCTATCAATATATTAACTTCGCAAACAAGCAGTTTCTATTTCTACCTTGATGTAATCAGCACAAATATAAATGTGATCCATTTTGATTGAAATTCAACCTATTAAAGTCAAGCGTATACATTACAAACATAGCATAGCGTGTGACAGATCAGGTGTTAACGCGATCAATAGCGATCTGATGAATATTTTATTAATGCCATGAGAAAGGACACGGGTCGATGGCTGGTAGCAAATATGACACTTTAATTATTATTGATTTTTAATGAAGGTCTTGTCTATGTTCTAAAGAAACAAAAAAAGTTTTACAATTTACTATGTATGTTTATTTTCATTAAAAATTATTATATTTATTGCGTAAAACTTTATAACAACGTTACGCCTTCATATATCACATATAGTTTTCCAGAAACGGCCGATGATTGACTTGTCAAATCTTAAGCTTTTCGAATATGCCGCCTGTTGGCCTGTGAAGTGACAGTTTTTTTTTAAATTCTCTGGTTACGACAAAATACAGTTAAACCACAAGCAAAACACACACACACACACACACACACACACACCCAACAAAGTACATAGTACAGAAAAAAACATTGATAAAGTATATACTAAGCACAACAAATTATAACAATTTGTCAAAGAGTCAGAGGTTTGTGATTTTTTATTGACTGCGTTATTGCCTAAATCTGATTCTATCATAAGCATTACATTGGACCAAATCGGACACAGACATGGATAATTAAGGAAGAAGAGTCGGCTTTGTATTAGAACTTACTAACCCCATTATTTCTCTTTTGCCCCAAACGAGACAAACATTATAAGAAAAATAGAAGGAAAAGTATGTGTACGAAGTTATCCATGAGAAAATAAATAAAATTGTTACTATCACAAAATTTAAAACAAACGTCGCAATATTTATTATACCTTCGTTTTAGTATTCAAACGTAGAAATATCAATTGTCCTACAACCTGTCCTACTATACTTTGGTTATTTTAGTTGAACAGTGAGCGCCCATTAAAGTCAAATAACAGTTAAACTCCATAGAATATTACCTATATTCTATGGAGTTTGACTTTTAGTTTGACTGTTAGACTTAACATGTTGAGATTAGTACAACATATCGAGTCATACCGAGCCCTGGAGTTAGATCCCAATAGAGGAAAGAAATAAAAGTTATTCGAGAGATGGATCTATCCAACGTCTTAGTTTAAAAAACCAAGTATCTCATACTTAAAAATCATTAGGCTAAGAATAAGCAAGTTTTTCTCTTCGTAGTTAATTTCTTCTAGAAAATCGCCAAAAAGGACAATTTGTCAATAGTTAATTTAATTTTGTATAATCTTCTTTCTCTTATTTAATAGCTTTTATCCGCCAGACAATAGCTTTTTTATTGGACAAATGGCCGTCAGGGGACTGTTGATCATGTGGTCTCGGGTTCAAATTAATTACTGGGTTTTCCGTTAGTAGAAATTTGAAGTCAGGAAGAAACTCTGTCAATGTTTAACTCTTGTGCCTTGGTGGGATCAACGGCAAGTAAAATCGTTTATCCTAAGACTGGTCTCTCTCCGGTTGTGCTTGCGCACATTCGTGCATTATAATCCTGTCCTATGCAGATAGACTGGTCGCCACAACCAAAACTCAATCTGTAGGACATCGTTCAGGTAATAATTTATTTTCAGGAAAACTACATAACTGGAAAGATTTGTCAACACTGACCACGCTGGGTAGGCTGTTTGGTGACCGGCTGTAGCGGAGTCTGGGTATAGATTAACTTTAGCAATAAGAAATAAAAGTATGTTACCTATAGACGGTCGCACTATGCAGACAGGTAGGTTTGAATGACTATAAACAATTGATTCAGCCAGTGCTTTGGTAAGTGTATAAGGGTTGGGATGTTCTCCCTGAAAAGAAATACTGGATTTAAAAAAAAATTGTAACATTAACAAGAACTGTTAAAATATTCATAATCATTATATATACATACATATATAACAAATTATTGGTATTAAAAGATACCGCTCTCTATTATGGTTATTATTTTTATTTTTATTTTACGTATTTTTATTTACGTGTTTTTTTGTAGAATAAGGGTGACAAACGAGCATACAGTCCACCTGATGGTAAGTGGATGCTGTGGCCCATAGACATCTACATTTATCTTCAATTAAGAATCAAAATGCAGATGCGTTGCCAGCCTTGAGGACTGTGATGAAATGCTTCGATTCCAGTAAAAAGGGTCTCTGGTTAACCCATTCGTGCTACAACTATACTATAGCTACAACATTTTATGTTTTATATGGTAGAGTCATGCTGCAGCTATACTGTGGTAGCAGTACGAATAGGTCGGCTCGATAGGTGTAGGAAACACGCTCTTACAGAATACCAGCGTAAAATAGCAGCTTAACGCTGCTGTGTTTCGTATGGTAAGTACGAGGGTGGATTGAAAAGTACTCGGCCTAACCAAGAAAATAAACACATACTAAATCAGTTATATTTTTATTTTTCTACATAATCACCATCAAGTTCAATACACTTTTGCCACCTCCCCTTCCAAGCATTTAGACCGTTGAAAAAAAAAATTATTTTTCCTTAGAGTCAAAATATGCGTCTACAGCTGCTTTGACCTCGTCGTTTGTCGAAAATCTTTGACCTCCCAAGTGCTTTTTTAGGTTAGAGAACAGAAATAAGTCTGATGGTGCCAGATCAGGTGAATACGGCGGATGCGGTATCAGTTCAAAGCCACAGTTGTGAATTTCAGCCATTGACTGTACTGACGTGTGAACACGGGCGTTATCTTGATGAAACAGGACTTTTCTTCTGAGCATTCCTCGACGTTTTTCTTTTATTTCCTCTCGTAAACGACGTAGTAAGGTGCAGTAGTAATCAGAGTTTATAGTCTGACCCCTTTCAAGATAATCAATCATAATCACACCTTTCGAGTCCCAGAATACTGAAGCCATCACCTTATTTGCCGACAAAATCGACTTAGCCTTTTTAGGGGGTGGTGAACCAGGTCCTCTCCACTGTTTTGATTGTTGTTTTGTTACCGGTGTACAGTAATGAACCCATGTTTCGTCCATAGTAACAAAATGATTCAAAAAATCATCTGCATCGGCTTCAAATAACTCCAAACAATCGCGTGAAATAGTCAATCGCGTCCTTTTTTGTTCAACTGAAAGCAGTCGCGGAACCCACCTCGCAGACACCTTGTGGAAACCCAACTCGTTGACAATGATGTTTTGAGTTCGTTCATAAGAGATGCCTGTAATCTCGGCTATCTCTCTAATTTTTAATCTGCGGTCTCCCATTATTAAATCAAGTACTTTTTTAATATTTTCGTCAGTAGTTGACGTCGAAGGCCTTCCAGAGCGGGGTTCATCTTTCACACTTTCTCTACCACGCTTAAATTCTGCTATCCATTTTTTGACGGATGAATATGACAGAGCACAATCGCCTAATGTACTGACCATGTCATCATGGATGGCTTTTAATGATAGCCCCTTCTTATGAAGGTACTTAATGACGGCACGCTGCTCGATTTGCTCCATTCGCGGAAATTATGTCCGATTACTTTGTTAATAAATTTATAAAATCACAACTAATTATCGCACACGTTTCGAACTTCACACAATGAACTAGTCTGAACTGAACTAAATAATGTGGGTAGATTTGATTTTTAGAATTGAATGGATCTGTGTTAGGCCGAGTACTTTTCAATCCACCCTCGTATAGAGAAACGAAGACCACTTTTACTGGAAACAAGGCAATCCATTTTCATTCGTAGTCGATGATAGATGTAGATGTCTATGGGCCACAGCAACTACTTACCGTCAAGTGGACTTTGAGCTCGTTTGATACCCTCATCCTATAAAAAAGGAATGTGTTTTTTTATAATAATTAGGGGATGTCTTACTTAGTAGTACCCGTATAATGTAGCTAATCAGTTATTATTAACTGAATAATTAAGCTATGGAGAGGCCTATGCTCGGAGTTTCTCTGCGTGATAAACTTAGAAATGAGGATACCCGCAGTAGAACCAGAGTGACTGACATAGCCCAACGGATTCGTAAGCTGAAGTGGCAATGGGCCTGCCATATAGCTCAAAGAACCGACAACCGTTGGGGAAGAAGGGTTCTCGAGTGGCAGCCTCGTACCGGTAGGCGAAGTGTAGAGCGACCCCCATCTAGATGGAGTGACGACCTGGTAAGACATGCAGGAAGTCGATGGATGCAGGTGGCTCAGGACCGTGCTTTGTGGCATACCTTTAGGGAGGCCTATGTTCAGCAGTTGACTTGTGAAGGGCTGTAATGATGATGATAATGATGATGATGAACTGAATAATTAATAATTAAACTTATAAAACAATTTAATTTATGAAGCAAGCAAATACATAATTTACGAGCAATACTCTTAAATATAGAATATAAGAAAAAAACCACATTAATATTAATTTAGTTTTTTATAATTTGTTCATTATTAGTTAAGCTTATTGGTAATTTAAGGAAGCCCGATGTTTACCTGTAATGTCTCGGCTATGACGTTGACAGTTTCTGGTGGGAGCATTTTAGTGCACCGAACTATACTGTCCGGGTCGTAGGGTGGGGGGTAAACTCGTTCTTCGATATGACTCCTTGGAGCGTTGCTGTATGCTGTAGAAACGTGGACTAGAGCCTGAAATAAAAAGTTATTTTAGATAATCATCAAGACAAACATCATCAAATTCTCGACAAATCAGGGGATTTTCACCAATTTTTGTTATGCCGCTACCACGACTCTTGGCAAACGGCTTAGAGAAAGCACAATCAAACACTACGCACTTAATAGTTGCTGTTTATATTTTAGGTCTGGCATTCCTTTTTTGCTAGATATATTTATCCAGCAAAATCACTATTTCTTCTTCAGCTGGTTTTCATTACTTGAAAGAAATACTCAGTACCATGTAGTGATAGCGTAAGAGAATCACTTACCACATATCATCCCGTTAGTGTCGTAAGAGGTGACAGCATGAAAACAACATCTTGCCTATCCGCCTGAAAATTATTCCCTATGAGGAGCTATGGAAAAGACAATGGATTGAATCAATGAAAGATGTACAGCAGTAGACTTGCATATTTATGATGAATATATACTCTCTCAAACACATAAAAAAATATTCAAAAACGGGCCAAGCATTTACCCAAGCTGCTCTAAAAGTATCGGGAATGGAATATTTCCACTTTTCCTGTCATATTAAAATCTTTTTAATTGAAAACTCCTTGGTTTTAAAAATCGAATACCATTTATTTATTTAAAAAAAAGATTCTCGGTCTAGTCACAAGGTTTTGTCAAACTTGTTTAGTCGTTGAGAATATGGAATTGACACGAGAAAATTCAAGAGCGATGATTTATTATGACTTTCGAAGTGGTTTAACACAAAAACAGTGTGTTCACCGGATGATTTCTGTATTTGGTGATGAAGCCCCATCTAAAACCACAATTTATCGCTGGTTTGCTGAATTTCACCGTGGACGTGTCAAGCTCAGTGATGATCCCCGTCAAGGTCATCCAAAAACTGCAGTCACCCAAGAAAACGTTGATGCTGTGCGTAAGATGATTGAGGAAGATCGACATGTGACATACCGCGAAATTCAGGCAACTTTAGACATAGGCATGAGTCAAATATAAATAATTTTGCATGAACAATTAGGTGTAAAAAAGTTGTTTTCTCGATGGATACCGCATTAGCTCCGTGAAGAGCAAAAAGTGGCTCGCGTTACTTGGTGCGTCAGAACTCTCGAAAGATTCTACGCAGGATCCTCAAATGCTGTATACAACATCGTATCAGGTGACAAATCCTGGATATATGCGTACGAACCCGAAACAAAAAAAGCAATCACGAGTTTGGGTGTTCGAAAATCAGTTAAAGCCAACAAAAATTGTTCGTTCACGGAGTGTTGCAAAAAAAAATGGTGGCCACGTTTGTCTCCAAAACCTTATTCCTCTTAAGGGACAAAGAACGATTAATCCAGAATGGTACGCTAGCATTTGTTTGCCACAGGTCGTTTCTGAACTCCGTAAAGAGAACTGCAACCGCCGCATCATCCTCCATCACGACAATGCGAGTTCTCACACCGCACACAGAACAAAAGAGTTTTTAGAGCAAGAAAACATAGAATTATTAGACCATCCGCTGTACAGCCCCGACCTAAGCCCTGATGTTTTCTATACTTTCCCTAAAATAAAGAATAAATTGCGTGGACAGAGATTTCAATCACCTGAAAAAGCTGTGGACGCCTACAAAACGGCCATTTCAGAGACCCCAACTTCCGAATGGAATGGTTGCTTCAATGATTGGTGCCATCGTATGGAAAAATGTATCGATTTTCGCGGAGAATACTTCGAAAAGCAATAAATACATTTTTAAATAGTAATGTTGCGTCACTTCCTTGATTCTCGAAATTTTCAGTGCCGCTCTCGTATGAGCAGTTCAGTGTCACACGTACAAATGAATTATATGTATAAAGATAAGTAAAAAACATCCTGTCCGATTCGAAAAGGGCACATAGGTACCGCAGTGTCTACAACTGGTAGAGCCATGCTGCAGATATATTAGTAGTATAGTTGTATCACGAATGGGTCAGCTCAACCTGGGAAGGACCACGCTCTCACAGAATACCAGCGTAAAATAGTAGCTTGATGCTGCTGTGTTTCGTATGTTGAGTGTAGAGAACCGGAGACCATTTTTACTGGAAACGAGGCATTCCATTTTAGTGCTCACGGGTGAAAACGCATCTGCATTTTGATTCATAATCGAGGATAGATGTAGATGTCTATGGGCCGCAGCAACCACTTACTATCAGGTGGACTGTGTGCTCGTTTGTCACCCTATCCCATAAAATAAAAAAGGTTACCAAAAAAAAAAAGAATTATATGATTAATGAATTTAAAATAACGACTACAAAACAAGGCGATGCTACCTTTTGATTCTCAAACGAGAATAGAGGTAGCTGTTTATCCTCGATTTAGAATAAAAATGTGTGCTCGTTTGTCATCCTAAATTTTAAATAAGTAAATCATTTTAAAAATTGGCCATCACTGTTGGTGATAAGAGGGCTTTTTCATTTCTCGCTCAAAGGATAAGAATACCTATTTAGGGAGGAAACGCAGCAAGCGTTTTTGGCACGATAACACGAAGAGTAGGACTTTATGACAATTGAAATTTTTAATTTTAGTTGTTCTTTATTATAGTTTTAAAAAATGTTATTCATTTTTAAAATTCATGATTTTACTACTTATTAAACTTGCTTAAAATTTAGCACTCTTTGAAATATGGCAGCACCATCGTCCTTGACGATATGTATAGTGTACATAATATATTTCTCGTCCATCGCATTTTATGTATTTATGGGAGTTACATAAAAACTACATCAAAAAGCACACTTTTTATATGGAGAATTTTTTATGTGTTGTATAGTGATAGAAAAGACTACTATAATAATACGTTATTATTGAAAAATAAATGAGAATAAAACACTATTTACCTTCAAAAGAGGCATATCAGAAGCGAGTTTTAGTAGATACGCAGTACCCTGCACGTTCAGCGCAGTAGCTGCTTGTAGTGGCTCAGTGAACTTCACAGTGGCTGCTGAATGGAACACAGTTGTCACTGTACTGAGAAGTTCTCTTTGTTCTGCACTAACACCCAAGTTAGGAGCTGACACGTCGCCAGTGATCGGAAAGAGCTTGCCGAGTCTCTCCGGCCATCGTGCACGTATACGATCAAAGACCTGTTGAAATTATATTTTGTTAACAAGGTATATGAATAACTTAATATTATTAAGCTCCTGACTGAATTTCGTTCACTGTGCATATTATAGTGCATGAGTGTATACAAAAGCACGAGTGGACTCTCTGTTCTACCACTCTCACAGTCGTCATAATCTCATTTCGGTCTGTAGAATAAAGAGAGCCATGATAATTAAAAACCATGATAATGACCACGCATCTGTGACCTTGTACCTTCTTCGTTTGACGTTGGTTGCAGGTGTCTATGAGCTGTATTAGCTCTTACCTTAAGAAGGGCTGTAAGTTTGTTTGCTACTTTAATTTTGTATTAAAATAATAATATTTACATATTAATTTATTGCTACTGCACTGTTGTTTTTACGATACGATAGGTGCGAGGCCTCAAAGTTAAAAGTAAAGCTATGTACCTAGACTATAAGTCCCATTACTGGTCACAGACCTCCTCTCATATTTACGAGGTTTTTAGTGCTGGAAAATATCCACCGCGCTGCTCCAATACGTTTTGGAGAACTTAACATGTCATCGAAATATTTTTTTTATATTACTCAGACATGTAGGTTTCCTCACGATGTTTCCTATCACTGCCGAGCATGTGACAAAATAGTACTTAATATTAAAGTTAACTATTTTATTGGTGTCGGCGGAGATCGGGGGTAAACAACAAATGTAAGATTACTTGTATGTTATGTTATAAGAATTAATTTGGGTGTCTCAAAAGTATAAGACAAGTGGTAAAATAAAAAAAAATTGTACAACCGATTTCAATACGACCGAAACAATGTTTTCGAAGTCAATTAAATACGCATAATTTAAGGATAACTCAAAAACTACTGGTCAAATCTTGATCAAATTTATATCGAACCACACGAAAAGCACAAGTTTTCAAATAAAAAGAATGATCAAAATCGGTTCACCCAGAAAAAAGTTCTGAGGTGACATAAAAACATACAGTCGAATTGAATACCTCCTAATTTTTGACGTCGGTTAAAAAAACAAAAATACTTGTTTTTACAATCCCACTTTACATAATAACCATCACAGATTGTTATTATGTAAAGTGTACCAAGTACTTGAAATAAGTAATTTTTTTATAGAATTTGAGTGACAAACGAGCACACAGTCCACCTGGTGGTAAGTGGATGCTGTGGCCCATAGATATCTACATCTATCCCCGATTAAGAATTAAAATGTTAAAACGTTTCCAGTTAACAGAGTCTCCATCTCTACATAACTATACGAATGACAGCAACATTGAGCTGCTATTTTACGCTGGTATTCTGTGAGAGCGTGGTAGGCCCCCGGTCGAGCCGACCCATTCGTAGTAACCATAATATAGCTGCAGCAATGAGAAACATTTACCAACTCTTTCTACAATACATGATATGCCCCACGAATATTAAAAGCAATTTTTATATATTTTTATATATTTTAACACAAATTTGTAAGTAACAGTGATACAATTATCATTTTATCTCACCTGATTTTTTAGCAATTCCTTATACCTTTGCTCAACGCTCAACCCGCGTTTTGGCCTCATCAGGACGTAAATAATTTTAATTCCAGCGCAACTTCTCAGTAGTTTTTCGAGAAGAGCTTTTCCAACGAAACCTGTCCCTCCAGTAACTAAGATGACTGCTCCATCGTAATAGTCCGCAATTGCCTCATTGCTTTGATTGTAACTGATTCCAAAATTGCGCTCTTGGTTTAAATTAGGGGTGAATGGGTCGTTCCCGTTAAGGCACTCCATATTTTTTCTGTTTAAAAGGAAATTTTAATAAAATACACAGAACATAAACAAAATTTTAAATAATTAAAGGGTAAATAATTCTATAAAATGTAAAAACAATCTACAAATAGCTTGGCCACATCTTTTTTTTATAGAGATAAGGTTATCAAAAGATCATATAAATCCTATTGATGGTAAGTGGATGTTGTGGAAAATGCAACTGCACTTTAACTCTCAAGAACTGAGATGGAATGCCTCGTTTTACTAATATTTTCGTTTATATTTCGTTTTACTATAAAAAGGGTGATTGGTTCTCTGAACTCACCTTACGATAAACACCAGAACTATATTATATTATCAGATCTGGTGGGAACTTAAATGAGACTACCCTGTAGGTATTAGAGATGATTTAAAGTAAAGACCAAGCTTGGCAGACGGTTTTGCAGTCGCAGTACCAGACGTCCTCTGACGTTGCATTTTAACCTTAGTCTATATACCCATGGTAAAGGGTGGTAAGAGTGTAAAAGATACTTGGATACAGCCTACACATGCATTAAGCAGCTACTTACTGGTAAATATCCATTCTGCGGTTTTTGTTCAAATATTTTTATTTATAGGAGTTGTGTTATTTCCAAAGTCTGCCACTACTTCCTCAATATTACTCCTAAAACAAAAATACATCATTAAGTTATACAGAAGTTATTAATAATAGATTTAAATCGCATGGATTCATTAATATATATGAAAAAATTTAAAAATGTTTGTTTACAGCTAAGGTGGTACAGATCACAATATAATAATATATAAAATATAATTAAATTGAAGTAGGTACAGTAGTCGTAATTCTTTAGTACATAATTATAAACTATGATCTTATCACACTAACTACGCAGGAGTGTATAAACAGTGGTGTACAGTTCTGTGGTCCTTAGACTAAGCACGCCTGTGTCGTGAGGACCTGAAACGATTATTTCATCACACATGGCTTTCATAAATTGACGGGTGTTAATAGAATGGTTTTAATAAAACAAAATAAAATAAAACAAATTTACACACACACACACACACACACACACACACACACACACACACACACACACACCGCACGCACACACACACACACACACACACACACACACACACACACCACACACCACACACACACACACACACACACACACACATACACACACACACACACACACACACACACACACACACACACACACACATACACACACACACACACACACACACACACATATCTGCAATTTAAATTCGCTTTGTCGCTCTTTCCTCGTTCATTCTAATATCTCTTATCACACAATTTCTCATTCTGTTATTTAGATTCAGCCCTAGCATACTCCTTAATGACCGCATTTCTACAGTATTTATTCTACTCTCGTGCTTCTTCTGCCATACTTAACTTTCAATACCATACATTAAAGTAGGGACTAACACAGCATTATGAATTGCCATACGTGCATTTTTGATACATTCTGATTTTTTATAACATAGTGTAGAGCCCCGTTTACTCTATTTCCTTCACTCGCTCACACTTATTATATCTACCATCCCTGCTAAATACACATCCGAAATACACAAACTCATGTACTTGCTCAATCAACTTCCCTTCTATTCTTATTTCACAAAACGTTTTACTTTCTTCTCTTTAAAAAACCATCACCTTCGTCTTCCTTGCGTTCACTTTCATTCTCTTTTCTTTTAATGACCATGTAATCATCGTTCGCAACTCGGCTGCCGACGACGCAAATATGACTTGATCATCGGCGTATAAAAAGCATTTGACGTTTAACTTACCCATTCTTCAACTTTCAAAGTTTCCAAACAACTGTCTATAAAATAGTTAAACCGACGGGGAAACTACACAGCCCTGCCTGACACCTTTTTAGATATCAAACTTGCTAAGTACACCCGTTAATCCTGACACAAGCACTAGAGTCTCTATAAAGAGACCTTATTTCTTGCATCAAACCAGCGCTCAACCCAAATGAGTTCAGTATTTGCCGTATTTCACTTTCTGTCCACTCTTTTATAAGCCTTTTACAAGTCCATGAACGCACAAAAAACACAATGTTAAGCAAGTTGATATAACGGTAGTTTTTAACAGTCCTGATGTGACCCTTTTTTCTTATATATTTAGACTATAACGGCTTTGCACCAGCCCTCCAGTAACCGCTTCAGTTCTCAACATAAATTAAACAAAGTGTACAGCAGGCCTGCCACCACTACCTCTCCAGCTCTTAGCATCTTGAGTGATACTCTATCACATCCGGCTACCTTACCTGCTTTCATGCTTTTTATTTCTTTTATTATTTGATCTACATTTATCTTCGTAACTCTTTTCAGAATTTCTAGTTAGCTCTTCTTTCATAAACACGCTTTCAAAGTATTTCTTCCATCTTTTAAACTCCAAACTTCGTCATTTACCATACAGCCATTCTCGTCTCGTATAACATTAATTCTATGCTGTTATGAATTTCCCCTGGCAGTTCGTACGAGTTTCCAGAACATTCTAATATTTTCCTGGAAGTTATCAGATATACTTCTACTATTCTTAACCGTTCTTTCTTGCTTTTTCCTTTCAATTACTGCTTTTAATGTCGTATTTAGAAGTCTGAAATCTGCCTTTTTTAATCTCATCATTAATACCGCCAGAATTACCAGCTTTGGCTGCTAGTTAATTTAGCCATGCTCCGTTTTTTGCTTCAACTTCCATCCGTACCTCATCATCCCACCACAACGTATTATGTTTCCATTTATTCTTTCTCTTTCTTACATCACATACTTTGACGGCTGCATCCACCAAACCTTTGTTGACATTTCAAGCAAGTCTAAATACGAGGGTGGATTGAAAAGTACTCGGCCTAACCAAGAAAATAAACACATACTAAATCAGTTATATTTTTATTTTTCTACATAATCACCATCAAGTTCAATACACTTTTGCCACCTCCCCTTCCAAGCATTTAGACCGTTGAAAAAAAATGATTCTTCCTTAGAGTCAAAATATGCGTCTACAGCTGCTTTGACCTCGTCGTTTGTCGAAAATCTTTGACCTCCCAAGTGCTTTTTTAGGTTAGGGAACAGAAAGAAGTCTGATGGTGCCAGATCAGGTGAATACGGCGGATGCGGTAACAGTTCAAAGCCACAGTTGTGAATTTCAGCCATTGACTGTACTGACGTGTGAACACGGGCGTTATCTTGATGAAACAGGACTTTTCTTCTGAGCATTCCTCGACGTTTTTCTTTTATTTCCTCTCGTTAACGACGTAGTAAGGTGCAGTAGTAATCAGAGTTTATAGTCTGACCCCTTTCAAGATAATCAATCATAATCACACCTTTCGAGTCCCAGAATACTGAAGCCATCACCTTATTTGGCGACAAAATCGACTTAGCCCTTTTTAGGGGTGGTGAACCAGGTCTTCTCCACTTTTTTGATTGTTGTTTTGTTTCCGGTGTACAGTAATGAACCCATGTTTCGTCAATAGTAACAAAACGATTCAAAAAATTATCTGCATCGGCTTCAAATAACTCCAAACAGTCGCGTGAAATAGTCAATCGCTTCCTTTTTTGTTCAACTGAAAGCAGTCGCGGAACCCACCTCGCAGACACCTTGTGGAAACCCAACTCGTTGACAATGATGTTTTGAGTTCGTTCATAAGAGATGCCTATAATCTCAGCTATCTCTCTAATTTTTAATCTGCGGTCTCCCATTATTAAATCAAGTACTTTTTTAATATTTTCGTCAGTAGTTGACGTCGAAGGCCTTCCAGAGCGGGGTTCATCTTTCACACTCTCTCTACCACGCTTAAATTTTGCTATCAATTTTTAGACGCTGAGACAGAGCACAATCGCTTAATGTACTGACCATGTCATCATGGATGGCTTTTGATGATAGCCCCTTCTTATGGAGGTACTTAATGACGGCACGCTGCTCGATTTGCTCCATTCGCGGAAATTATGTCCGATTACTTTGTTAATAAATTTATAAAATCATAACTAATTATCGCACACGTTTCGAACTTCACATAATGAACTAGTCTGAACTGAACTAAATAATGTGGGTAGATTTGAGTACTTTTTAATCCACCATTCATACACAATTAATTCAAGCCCTTAATATTTTCCCTCAGTCTAAATTTATACTTCTCTTTCACACCTGCACCTTGTAATCTTTCTATCCCTATTCGCTGTAACGTCGTGGTAAGCACAGATATCCAATGTCACCAACGCCTGAATAAACTATTAATTCGGCATAAGACTAAGTAATCATTCGTCCCTATGTTGTATTCCTGGTAATATATCATTCTTCTTATAAAAAAGAAACTCTTCGTCACAAAAATATTATTTTCCACATATTTGGTGAGGAGAATTTCACTATTTCGCATACATACATTTATACTTTCATAACCAAACATTCCCAATATCCTTTAATAACCTGAACTCAATACCCCAAATCTTCTATTAAAATCTTCAAACATAATAATATTTTCATTTCTCTTACATTTCATCAACATCATCTAAAAAGTACTTTTAGATAATATTTTCTCAATTTTATTTGAAAGTAAGATAGAAATTTAAGCCGGTGGCGGGCGCAGCGCCGTTGATACTTCCTTGCCCTAAAACCCTCACAGAAATGATAGAAGGCCTGTGCACAGCAGTGGAACGTATATAGGCTGTAACTTTAACTATAACGAATTGCCTCTAAATTTTTACGTTTCTGTGCGATGAAAATAACTAAAAACAAATGTAAGTCCAAAACATTATATTCATTTTTAATTTAATTAAATGATAAAAAAGGGAGGTCTCTTCGGAGAAGAACACCAAGAAACTCTCAAGTTTTTTGTATTTTTTTCTGTTTATTATTTATTAATTATTAATTAAAGAGTTGCAAAATATCTTTTAAACGTGCTGCTAAGTCCAGCAAAATGATTTTATAGAAAGCTTGCTAATCGGATTAAGGCCAAGCCTATTCCTTACAACACCGTTTAATACCGGCAGGGTCAAAGATAAGCTGGCAGTAACTGCACGGTTTTCACTTTCACGGTACACCGATGATTAAGTCTGGTTAGTCTGTAGATGTTCTGCAGAGAGTGTGCAGTGTTTAGTTCTTCAATATAAATGGATTGGAATGAAATTGGTTAAAACAGCAATTTGTTTCTTTTTTCAAAAAAACGTCACTCTCATATTTAGAATTTCTCCTGTGGACGAGGTATTGCCAATTATAAATTGAAGATTTGCACACATCTAGACATAAAACAATTTTCTTTTCAAGTGCTCAGCCCAAACACATTTGTCTTAAGTTCTTCATATGAATTAACCATATTCGTAATTTAAATAACGAGGAGTAGGTAGTACTAATAGTATTTTTTATTATATTTTGTCTTTCTAAGTAAGAAAATATTATGTATATATATATGATTACTTGTCAAGTTGGGAACTTAATTAAGCCAGACGTAATACAAAAGTGATAACTAATACATATACACGAAACACATTTTCATTACGCAACATAACGTAATATATGTTTATTTAACCCTCTTCCTGTCGTATGGATCA